TGTTGCTTCCATTATAAAAATAGTCTCCTCTCCCCGGTCTTAGAGCTCTCAACAACCATCTCCATCCTGCCTTTCTATATTTACTTCACATTACTCCCCTTCACACACCCTATGTCCCAGCCATCTGCAATTCCCTGAATTCAGCACTTCGTCCCCCACCTCCCTCTACACCTGGAAAACATTTCCTCCTGTCCTACACTTCTTAGAACAATTCACTCCCTTCCCTTCAGCTAACACTTCCTGTACAACAAACTTTTCCCTATTGTTGGCTCTTTCTCTCAGTCTTTCTGTCTCTCTGTCTCTCTTTCTCCTTCTCTGTCTCTCTCTGACTCTGTCTCTCTCTCTCTCTCTACCTCTGTGTGTGTGTGTCTGTCTGTCTCTCTGTCTCTGCCTCTCTCCTTACACATATTTAGGATTATAGTGTCATAGATTAGAGCTTGAAAATTCAGACTGGCAAGGCCATTTAGTCCAGCACCCTTATTTTCAGATGAAAAAACTATGGCCCAGGGAGTTAAGTGACACAGCTTACACAGCTAGTAAACCTCAGAGGCAGGACTATCTGTGTACAGGTTGTATTCCCCCAGTAGAATGGAAGCTCCTTGAGGGCAAGAAGTATCTTGTTTCTGTCTATTCCCAATACCAGTCAAGTGGGCTGCACAGAGTAAGCTCTTAATAAATGTTTATTGAGGGGCTACCAGAAGGCAGACACATTGTTTTTCATTGGTCTAGCCATTCTGGAAAACAATTTGGAACTTTGCTGAAAATGGACTAAAATATCCATGCCCTTTGATGTAGAGATCCAACTGCCACATATATATTCATTATGCAGTCAAGGACTGGAAAGATCCCACATACTCCCAAAATATTCATAGCAACATTTTTTTGTCAACAAAGAACTAGAAACAGATTAGGTGTCCACTGATTGGGAAATGACTAAACAAATGTGGTACGTGAATGTATGAGATATTATTGCATTGTAAAAAAAAACAACAAGCAAATATGAAGAATTCATATTTGATGAAGAATACAGATAATTAATTTTTGTTTATAAAAACAAAAAAGAAAGAAAAACAACATTAAGCCAAGACCCTTTCTTTTTCAGCACAAAGATAAAAAGGAAAAAAGTCAACATTTCATCAGATCAGGTTGGGTCTTTTCTAGGGGTATCTGCAGGATCCAAGCTACTTTCCCCCTTGGAGAGAGAAACAGATTGCAGTCCAGCCTCAGCTTCTAAAACAGTTGGAGAATCTCCTCACCAGCCACGTGCCTCACCTTCTCCTCTTGAGCTACCAAGATTTCTTTAATGCTTTTCTTCCCGTCCAAGTCCAAAAACCAACCCAGGTTGTGAACAATGATATGGTGGTTCTGGCAATAGGACATGTCAGAATCGCCACACCATTATGATAGGCAAGCTTGGTGTTCTTTGTAGTTGACCTTACTGAGAGTCCTGTACCCAGTGCAGCCTTGAGCCTGGTCTCAGACTTGGACTTTGGTCTAGAATAGGAAGTTATGTTAACCAAGGAAGCCCAGGCAGGAAAACAACATTCACAACAAGTACACTAATGTAAACAGAAAGAACAACAGCAACACCAAAACAAACAAACAAACAGAAGAACCCACAACACCAAACACTGTGTAATTATAATGACCAAATTCAGCCTGAAGAAAAGTTGAGAAAATGCCGGGTTCAGAAGCTACGAGTGTGGAATATTACATTTGCTTTTGGGCATAATCAATGTGTTGGCTAATTTTGCTGAACTGCCTTTTTTCTATTTCTTTTTAATCTTTATTACAGGGGATGGCTTGCTGTGTAGAGGAGGGCAGAGGGAGATATATAATACAACTTCCTTCATTTAATTCCTGGCATTTAATTTAAAAACAAAAGGACACAACAATAAAATAAAAAACTTAATTTTTTTTCAAAAAATGTTTGTTGAGTTAATTTCAAAGTATTTAATTTACCAAGAACAGCCTAGCCCTCACATCTTTATATATGAAAGAGGAAATTAATCATTTGTATTCTGTGTACTGATATCTTAATTTTGTTCAGCAGTTTACAAAGTGAATGAGCCACAAAGTCTAAAATACTTGCAAATACTGCACTCTTATGATGCTTTATACTTGTTTAGTTCTTTGCAACTTATAAAAATGCTTCCATTCTCTTTTCATTCGATTCTTTTTAAAAATGTGTTTACACTATTTGTCTTTGCATCATAGTCATTACCCACCCTCCCCTTACCCAATTGAACCATCCCTACAGACAAAAAAAAATAAAAAGCAATTAAGCAAAATATCTGAAGCATTAAACTTGCCTGACAGTATGTACAGTATCCTACTAGTCTCACCTGTTTCTGCTGTGAGAGAGAAATTATGTATAATTATCTCTTCTCTGAAACTTTAATGGATTTTTCAGTTACTCATTGTTCCAGTTCCTTCTGACCATCTTTTCATTTACATTGTTGCAATCATTATGTATAGTATTCTCTGAGTTCTGCTTATTTCATTCTACATCAGTCCATATAAACCTTCCCAAGTTTCTCTGAATTTCTAGTATTTGTCATTTTTTAACCACATGATAATATTCCATTATATTCATATACTCTAGGTTTTTTTCAATCATTCCCCAATTAAGTGGACAACCTCGTTGTTTCTAGTTCTTTGCTACAAAGAAGAGTTCTGCTATGAATACTTTAACATATGATGAAACCTTTGTTTCTGTCGGAGTGTATGCCTAGAAATGGGATCACTGAATTAGAGAGTTTACTCACATTTTTTTATATCATTCCAAATTAAAATACAGAGTGGCTGAACTACTTCACAGATCCACCAACAATGCATTAGTATATCTGGCTTCCTACATTTTGACAGTTCCCATCTTTTGAAAATCTTTGCCAATTTGCCTGTTAGAAAATGAAACCTCAGAGTTGATTTAATTTGCATTTCTTAGTGATTTGGAATGTGTTTTCATGTGGTCATGTAAAGTTTACAATTCATTTGAAAACTATTCATGTCCTGTGACTGCTTTTCTATTAGGGAATGGCTCTTAGTTTTATTTTGTGTGTGTGTGTGTGTCTATGTCTGTGTCTGTGTCTGTGTGTCTGTGACAGAGAGAGAGAGAGAGAGAAATCATCAGGCTTGGTCACTGTATGAATTTTTTAAAAATGTTTTAGAAGACTATATATATATATGTACGTAATACACATATACACATATACTTTATTATATGCTAAAGACTATACAGGCATACCTTGGAGATACTGTGGGTTTGGTTCCAGACCACCACAATAAAGTGAGTCACACAGATTTTTTGGTTTATATTATGTCCAAAGAAACCCAATGTACATACCTTAATTAGAAAATGTTTTATTGCTAAAAAAAAATGCTACCCATCATCTGAACCTTCAGCAAATCATCATCTTTTTGCTGGTGGAGGGTCTTGCCTTGATGATGGCTTTTCACTGATCGGAGTGGTAGTTGCTTAAGGTTGAGATGGCTCTGGCAATTTCTTAAAATAGAGTAACAATGAATTTTGCTGCTTTGATTGACTCTTTCTTTCATGAAAGATTTCTCTGTAGTATGTGATGCTATTTGATGCCTGCATTTTTTTTACCTTCATTACAACTTCTTTCAAAATTGGAGTCAGTCTTCTCAAATCCTGCTGCTGTTTTACAACTAAGTTTATGTGTTGTTCTTCAGTGCCGTTGTGTTTCAGAGCATAGGAGACCTGGGGAGAAGGAGAGAGACAGGAGAACGGGCAGTCAGTGGAGCAGTCAGAACACATGTAACATTTATCGTCTAAGTTCACTATCTTATATGGGTATGGTTTATGGCTACCCAAAACAATTGCAATAGTAATATCAAAGATAACTAATCACAGATCACCATGAAAGGTATAATAATTTAAAAGTTTGAAATATGGTGAGAGTTACCAAACTGGGACACAGAGACACAATGTTAACACGTGCTGTTAGAAAAATGGTGCCAGTAGACTTGCTCAACACAGGGTTGCCATAGACCTTCAATTTGTAAAATAATGCAGTATCTGAGAAGTGCAGTAAAGTGAAATATTCCTGTACATACACACACACACACACACACACACACACACACACACACACACACACACA